AAAAAAAAAATCAGTACAAAACATAATAATTATCACTTATAAAACAGTGGATAGCTATATCAAAATAGCATGACACTTATTTGCAGAGGGGAGAGAAAAATAAAACTTACTACCTAAAATAAAATGTTAAAGCTTATTCTACATCTTAGCTTATTTATACTTATCTATCGGGAATAGAGAGAGAGAAAAAAGTCAGAAATGGTTGGGGAAGGGGAGGGAATGCATTTTAAAATAAATTAAAAAAGAAAAACTGGGGGTTTTGCTACATTATCATCATAAATCCATCCTTCCTTCCATGTATGGGCAAGGTATGCACCAATGTATTTACACAGCCATGTTTCATGATAACTGCCTATGATAGGTGTTTGTGCCTGAAAGCTTGCAAAGAACAATTTTTACAGCTACAGTGTTTAGTTGGTCTAATAAGATATGACATTTACCCAAAGAACCTTGTGTGCCTATGATGGTAACATACACTGTGGGCCAATTTCACCTTCCCTGGAAGTGCTAGATGTAGGTGACACCTGGAGGTAGACCTGGGAAAGGGAGGAGCACTGATCTCACCTAGGTGGGCAAATCTAGTGTTTATAGGTTCATTCTCTTCCAGTAGAGGGAGCCCCAACCTGTAACATGTGAAGGGGGAGGCCGTTATTAGGGGTGCGCGATGTGGGCCAATTCGATTCAGATTTGGATTTGGCCCGAATCAGGGACAGTGATTCAATTCGTTGATTCGGATCACTGTCCCTGATTCAATTCGGCCAAATTCGAATCTGAAAACCTAGAAGTGGACCGGAAGTACTTCTGATCTGGGTCTGCTGCTGAGCACGCTGGGGAGCCCGCTTGTGCTTCTGTGGAATGCTCCATGAGCCCCAGCATCACAGCACTCATGAGGTATGTAGAAAAAACATTTAAAGCTGTCTCTATGTCCGAATTGATTCAGAGGGATTAAAGGGTCCTCTGATTCAATTCGGATTCAGAGATTCAGCCACCGAATCGGGCTGAATCAAATCAGGGACTGAAGCTTCGCACAGCCCTAGTGGTTATACCCATATGCTCTGTTACTGTATAGTGTGCCCATGCCATACGTAGGTTCTCTCTTGACAGTGTTCTGCTCTTTCCTGCTTTCTGGGGCAGGGTGCAAAGCTGGGGCCTTTTTGCATGGAGGATGATGGCAAAGAGTAATGGTCTGAAGAGCTCACCTGCCAACCACCACCCTCCCCGGTTGTCTGTCAAAGCCAACACCGAGGATGATTCAGACAAGACTGAGATCAGCACCAGCAGGTCAGGCTACTCTTTGGTTTGGAACTGGAACCTGGCCCAAGAAGTTACTCAGTAGAGGCAGTGGGGGCCTATTAATGCTGAAAGGGACTAGTAGGGTCACATGGGGTTCAGAATCCTCCTGTGGAGTCTGCCTGCTGATTCTGTCAGGCATGAAATAATGGAAGTACCCCAGTGGTTGGAGAGCACTGCTCAGCTCTAGCAGGGTGACCACATGGGTGTGGAGCATTGCAGCTGCTCTGGGGCAAGTCTGTGTGAAGGTATCTCATTTAAATGCTGTTCTGAAAGGGGGTATTCAAGGCATTGTCTGGTAGAGGTGTTTCATCTCTTGCCATCCTGCTTGATCTTGGTATGTGTAACTGTCAAGCTGTAGGGTCTAGTCTGAAGCAGCAGATGCACTTTTTACTTTTTTACTGGCTCAGCCTGTGGTCAGACCAAGTGGTATGCTCTGGAAGCTCAAAAGTAGAGACTTTCTTGGAGGCCAGAGGGGGACCTTGCATGAAGAGCCTGGGGAGGAGCATGAGGCTTGATTCTCATGTCTAGGGCTGAGGTGCTGCCTTGCGGCTTGGGCAGGAAGCCTTTGAGTAGGTTTGACTATATTCTCCAGTAACTGTGGTCTGTTAGGAAAGGCTGCTGGCACCTGCTTAAGACACATTTTGACTTTGGGGCCTACTTATGAGAGATCTATCGATGGGGTGTGTGGGCAATACCTTAAGTTCTTATATGGCCCCCATTATTGTAACTGAGCACTTCATAATCTTCAGTGTATTTGTCCTTTTGCTCCTGTCAGATGGGGAAAATGCTATTATCTCCACTTTACCCATGGGAAGCAGAGGCAGGGAGGCTAAGTGAGGTGAGGAATGCCACATGCTAAGTTTGTGGTGGACCAGAGAACTGAACTTTGGGATCCTGGCACCCTAACAACCAAGTCATCCTACTGAGAGCCAGCACCTTGGAAATGCAAACAAGCCCCAGGGCATGAGCCCATGAGGGAGAGAATCCAAAGGGATATCCAGACCCTGTGACACTTGATTTAGCAAACTATGCAGTCACTCCAGCCTATCTGAGCCATCGTGCTGCATCTCCTGCAGAAAGCCAAATGCACCCGTATTGCTTGAGGGGAGTGACAGGGCGAGATTATTTGCAAGAGCAACCTCTCCAGGGCAGAATGGAGAAACCAAGGATTGGAATAAGAGAGGGATTTAATTTCATTCTCATCTTTAGGGTAATTGTTACATCCATATCAAGTTTACTCTAACACAGGAGGAGCCATGCATATGAGGGAAGCACAGACATGAATGAACATCGAAGCCCTACATAGACACACAGAGCAAGTCACAGAAGTCTGGGATGGACAATCACAGAATAAATGCCAGATTCCTTCTCTCTCTTCTCCAGGGAGAGTTCATCTAATGTTGCATGAGTGGTGACCTGTAACCCTGACCTGTCTTTTACCCTTTGCAGGGCTGAGTCTGCAGATGACACTTCCTCAGAACTGCAGAGAATTGCTGCATTGGACAATGCAGATCAGCCAGCCCGAAGAAGGGGAGCTCTGACCAGGTATCTGTGCCTGTAGGGATGGAGCCAGGCAAGGGGAGAAGAGCTGAGTGTGGAGTCCTGTATGGAATTGCCATCATGCTTGAGGGAACTTGCTTCATCAACCTAGCTTCCAAAGGCTTTGCCATTACAGTTGAGCTCAAAGCCCTTTCATTTAGTTGTGAAAAGTTTGTGGTGAAATTGGAAGAAGGCTACAAAATGTCACCACTCAGTTGCTTGAAACTCTGCGTGGGCCATGGGTGGCTCTGAATTAGCAGCACTCAAGCCCAGCTGTTCTGTTTACAAAGTGAAGCATTGACCTTTCAGCACTGGCAAATCCGTCTCCAACTGCACTGGACAAAGGAAGCTTTTTTGCAATTGTTGCCCTTTCATTCACCTACTAAAGAGGTGACAGTTTGCTGGTTTTGGGGTTAATCCTGTGCAGAGCTGGGCACCCTTTGGCCTCCTGCTGCCAGTGAGAGCTGAATGCTTAACACCACACAAAATCTCTCTTGCTTTATGGTTCCTTTATGGTCATTAACAACTTCTTGGCTTCTGCTAATTCTTGCTTGGCAGACAAGAAGCTCCCTATAAGCAGCTGTGTACAGCATTAGAATAGAGACAGTGGGTCCAGACCCTGGGAGAATGTGTTTGTGTGCATGAATTTGCTCTTTCTTTTGGTCTGTTTGTAGCGCTGAATGTGTTAATGGGCTTTGGCACAGGTGCGAGCATCAGCCAGCGCACAGGCCTCGGATCACAGCTATGCCTGTGTGAATGACTTGGAATAGGATTGTTAAAGATATGGCCCATAGACCTGTGTCATCCAGCCCATAGATGCTCCCAGACAGGCTGGGAACTCAGGGGTGAGGTGAGTTGGGGAAGGGCCACTGACAATACCCAGGATGTGGAGTCTGTGGGTGAGTCACTGCTGTGTTAACCCCTGCAGCTCCCTGGCATCACTCGCTCAGTCTCACTGCTCACCCTGCCATGAAGGTGCATCCATATACAGCCCACAAGGAGCCCTGTGGTCTGGATGTGGCCTAGAGGGCCAAGTGAGTTTTACACCTCTGGGCTGAAATAAGTGTCCATGCTGGAGTTGAGTGGTTTTGTCACTTGGATGACCCTAACTTTGATTCATGCCTCTTTCCCCTCTCAGGATAGTCCGGCTAGTGGTGATTCTGAGAGACTGGGCAAACAAAAACTTGCGGGAAGAGCAGCAAAGGCCAGACTCCTTCCTCGAGCGATTCCATGGGCCAGAACTGCATACAGAGGATGGTAACGAGCAAGGGGACAAAGATGGTGAAGGCAGCAAAAGCATTAAGTATGGTTTCTTTTTCATACCCTCTGACTTTCTCAGTTGGAGGCCAAATGTTTTGTGTGTGTTGCGGGACTCCTCACCTGCCTGATGTGCTTCTCACTGTCACACCAAGGGCCATCAGGGAGAGGACTCTCTGTCCTGGCACTAATAGTCTTGAGGGTTTAGCATGGTGACTGGAGTCACCTGTGCTATGCTGTGCTAGGGGATTATACCCAGTAGGTTAACACCATTTTTGAATAATTGGGGCCAAGGGTCTTAGTGCCTGCCAGCTGCCTCTGAGCATATATACAGGTTTCTGTACCAGTGTGTACCTGTACCCACTGTCAAGCCTAAAGGAACCCTTGCACCATGGTTCCGTTCTAGACCCTTTCAATTACAACCCCTCTGTGCCATGCTGATGGTGCTGGGCATGGGCACAGTGCCTTTGGTGCAGGGATGAGGAAGAACTTTAAAGAGTAAGCTGTGTTTCCCCATTTTTTACATGAAGAAACTGTGGCCTAGAACAGTAATTTTTCAGCCTTTGATTGTATAATGTCCCCTTCTCCATCCTTCCCCTACCAGGACTTCCCTCCAATAAGGCCAGGACCCTTTCCCATTAGTTGGCTAAAAAAGGTGGTTGTGACCTCTTGACACCTGTTTATGAATATGAATGAGAGCCCCAGGTGGGAAACCCCTGGTTTGGAGTGCATGAGTTTGGTCCCGACTCAGATAGGGAGTCTGTAGAGTGTCTGAAATGGATTCAAGTCAACAGCCAGGATCACACTGCAGCTATTAGGCCAAGCTCTGACCAGGAATAATTACATCTAGAAGGGATTCCCAAGGGGTTTGCAGGACTGAGTTACCCCATCTGATGCTGTATTTGCCTGTCTGATTTCATCATCTGTGGAAGAGGAAGGGATTTCATTCACTGCTGAGCCTTCTGCTAGAGCATACGTTGTGATGGTTTTTCTTTGAAAAGTCCTTTCATATCCAGTCCTTTCATCTCCACTGCACTTGGACACAGTGAAAAACAATAACCTTGCTTTTCTTTCTCTCTGTAATTAAAGGGCAGAGCTCATTGACTAGTCTGGCCCCCACTATTATACATGGTAATTACAACACCGAGAAAGGACTGTCTTCTATAGGGGGAAAATATCAGAGGCTTGTATCTGAGGCTTTAATAGCCAGAGTAGAAAATGTTCTGCCCTGTGAGGTTAAGGATAGCTTGTTAATTATCAGAGGCAGTAGACTCAGAATGAGCAGAGGGAGATGGAATAGAAGTATATATGCTGAATTGGGTTAGTATGGTTTTGCAGCCTCAGTGAGCTTTTAATAGAAAGCTGCTAATTTTCTGAGGTTTGGTCTCCAGATTTGGTCTCACCAGCTGACTTCCTGCCCTTCAGGCAAGGGGCTGGACTTGATGATCTTCCAAGGTCCCTTCCAGCCCTAATGTCTATGAAATCTATGAAATAATATTTGTTTGCTGCTTTAGGTCATGCCTCAATGAAGTTAAACATCAACATGTTAACAGGATGTGAAGGCAAACATAGTGGTTGTTCTGTGTTTGCCAGCCTGGGGTTATTCTGAAGATGGTATGCAGATTTTCCAGACAAAGGACTGTAAATTCAGGGCTATCCTGAACAATGCAGGAAGGGTGACAGTCCTACCCAATGGCTAGGTTGGTTAGGATGATGACTAACACTGAGATTTCTTTGGGTCTGATTGGGGTAAACCCTCTCACATCATAGATGCATGTGAAAGTTCCATGTCATTGTAACTCCAGGTGCAATGCCATGCCAGATGTCTGTGCTTGAAATCCTCAGTGTATAGGGGAGATTTGTGCAGAGGGGGCTTTTAGGACCAGGCTTAAAGATAGCACCACACAAAAACAGACAGCTGACTATTCCTTCATTTCATCTTTAACCCTGCTTCCAGCTTCCATTGTGTTTGTGTCCTGATATCACAGAGAGCAACTCCATGGTCTGATTCTGTGATAACACTGGTGCCCTCTGCTGTATACATTTAAAAACAGCATTTAGTAGTATTTGTATTACTACAGTGACTGGAGCAGTGATTCTCAACCAGGGTCCAATAGCAACCTGGGGTGTTTTGAAATCCTTTCAAAGGTGTCACAGAGTGCTACACAATGTTAGTACTATTAGGCGTGAAAACATGTTTCACAGGATAAATCTAGAGATTTCAAAAAGGAATCTGTAGTGTCTCAAACATTCTGACCTCCTGTGGGTTTTCTGAGTTCTTTGCCACAGAGGAATTGCTCTACTATTTTTTCTATAGTTAGAAAACAAGTAAAAGCTAAGAGCTAGCATTTTCCAGTGGTGCCTTAAGTCTAATGAGGGGTGCCTCTAGTCTAAAAATGTTTAGAACCATTGGTCTGGATCTGGACTTGAAATGAAAGTTCCTTTGTGTTAGGTGCTGTATAAGCAGTGATAGAAGACAGACTACTTCTCTGAGAATAATGCAAGCTATTTTGAACCCTGCTCATCTTTGATTAGTACTACTGAAGGACCACTGTGTGCGGCCATGTGGAAGCCTTGTCTGACAGCTCAGCTAAATGCACTGATCCCAGAAGTTGCAGCATTCTTGCTGGTGACAACCATGCCACACCAAAGAAGTAAACCAAAGTTAGAAACTACAGTTATGGAGGCAGGAGAAGCAGCACTGATGAGGGAGGGGCATGGCTTTTTAATAAGATCTGGCAAATGAGCGTGTTCCATCTCTGGGAGCAAGCTCTGCAGTCTAAGGTGTGGGGAGTTTTTGAACGTGACCATTAGGGCAAACCCAAGATTTGCCTTAATGCCCAAAAACAGGATCAAATGCATGGGAACAGTGTAAGAGCTGGACCCAGCCACTCAGCAAGTAGACTGCACCCTTCCCCATGGCAGCACCATGTGCTTCCCTCAGCAGTACAGATATTTATTGCACTTCCTGCCCTGATTACTGTTAGTTGTGAGCTACCTCAGAGCTACATCTATCATGTACCATGTCTGCATTGTCTATCAGAGGGCCTTTTTAGTGATTTGAGTAGGAGCCTGGGAACCTAGAAAGCCATATTCTGTTCCTGACTGTCACTGACTTGCAGCAAAGTCCTTGTGACCTCTTTCATGTTCCCCATCAGTTAACATAGTGCATAGGTGCTTTACCTACATCAAGAGGGAACTTGGTGAAGAGGAGTTTAATTGATGAACTTCATCAAGTACCTAGCATTCCTTAGATGGAAGGCACTCAGCACTCATTATTATAGTGATTAAACAGAGTTGTAGTTAAGGGTCATTGCTCCATTATCAGTGTGCAGTCTCCTAGGTCCTGGTTCTCTCTGGTTCTGTTTTCAGGAAGAAATGGATGGTGTTTGTGGTGGATCCTTCTGGGGACTGGTATTACCGCTGGCTGCCTGTCATTGCACTGCCCGTGCTTTATAACTGGTGCTTGCTTGTGGCAAGGTAAGCAGGAGGCCTTCCAAGGTCATGCCATTCTGTAACCCTTCTGTCTCATTGGGTGCTTTGTTTGGGACCAGTCTCGGCAGCTGGGACTGGGCATGCTGCATGCTGCTTTTTTTTAGGCTAATAAAAATAAAAGTCCCAGTTTCATTGGTGTCATGGCAGTGGAAAGGGGAACCCAATTCCATTGTGTTTTGACACACATGGGTGGAACTTGTGAGAATGGAATTTGGAGGGTAGTAGAGACAGATTAGACTGTAGGATAGGGACCCCCATTTGAGAGGCAGTTTCAGGAACATCATTACCTAGATCAATGGAGAGCAGATGTTCTAAAAGGTGATAGATTTAATTTCCAAAGGGAAAGGGGATGGTTAGCAATTGTCAAAAGTCAGTTGTGCCTACTATGGGCACTGCTTTGTAGGGCAGCCCAGGAACCACACCATTAGGAGATAGGACTTTGGGGGGAGGGCGAAATGGGTGAGCTGACTTTGGTAATTTGATAATACTCTCTCTCTTTCTGACCTCTATCATGTGGTTCTCCTGCAGAGCCTGCTTTAGTGATCTCCAGAGGGGCTACTTCATCCTCTGGCTTGTGCTGGATTATATCTCGGACTGCATCTACATTGCTGATATTGTAATCCGGTCACGCACAGGTGAGCTGAGGAGACAAAGACCAAGAAGGATTTTCTTCGATATCATCACATAAGATCTGATTTGACCTGTCAGGGAGGAGCTTGCTCTGTGGCTGTTCTAGAAGAAGGGCCTTCAGTGATGCCTTGGAGCTAGCTGGCAGGGACTAGCCCCCAGAGAAAGAATTTAATTAAAAGCTCTGAGAACTAGAGTAAGTTTCAGAATGAAAGATTAATTATCCCAGATTTTAGCTTCACCTTTGAATAATTGTACAAAATTACCCACATTACCATTAGTATTCTGGCATGGTTTAAGGTCTGTATCTCTGATGTGGTATCTGTGAAATTAATGAACAATCTGAATGGAAAATAGTAGAATTTAATGTTCTTAGGATGTAGCAGGCTGCTGTGTAATTTTCTGTGCTGTATTAATTCAGGCTGTGTGGAGGATGGAAACTTCAGTGTCTTTTTAACATATGTAGCATTGGTCAAAGGCAGGAGAACAAATGAACAAATGTAACTGAACCAAGCTAATTCTACGTTTTGCATTTCTGTTAGGTTTCCTGGAACAGGGCCTGCTGGTTAGAAACCTTAAGAAGCTGTGGGATAAGTATGTCCAAACCTTGCAGTTCAAGCTGGACGTCCTCTCTGTCTTGCCTACAGACCTGGTGTATATTGCAGTGGGAATCCATCGGCCTGAGCTGCGCTTCAACAGGCTGCTCCACTTCTCCCGCATGTTTGAATTTTTTGATCGGACTGAGACCAGGACTAGCTACCCGAACATCTTCAGGATTAGCAACCTGGTACTGTACATCCTGGTCATCATCCACTGGAATGCCTGCATTTACTATGCCATCTCTAAGTCCATTGGCTTTGGGACAGACACCTGGGTGTACCCCAACATCACAGACCCTGAGTACGGGTACCTCAGTCGGGAGTACGTCTATTGCCTCTACTGGTCCACTCTGACTTTGACTACTATTGGAGAAACTCCTCCTCCAGTGACTGATGAGGAGTACCTCTTTGTCATTGTTGATTTCCTCATTGGTGTCCTCATTTTTGCCACCATTGTCGGGAATGTGGGCTCCATGATATCCAATATGAATGCTACAAGGGCAGAGTTCCAGGCGAAAATTGATGCCATCAAGCACTATATGCAGTTCCGCAAGGTCAGCAAGGAAATGGAGGCCAAGGTCATCAAGTGGTTTGACTACCTATGGACCAACAAGAAGGCAGTAGATGAACGTGAGGTCCTCAAGAACCTCCCTGACAAACTGCGGGCAGAGATTGCCATCAATGTGCACTTGGAGACACTGAAGAAGGTAAGGATCTTCCAAGACTGTGAATCAGGCCTGCTGGTGGAGTTGGTGCTGAAACTTCGGCCTCAGGTGTTCAGCCCGGGGGATTATGTTTGCCGAAAGGGGGACATTGGCAAGGAGATGTACATCATCAAGGAGGGGAAACTGGCTGTGGTGGCAGATGATGGAGTGACTCAGTATGCCTTACTCACCGCAGGACTTTGCTTTGGTGAGATCAGCATCCTCAACATTAAAGGGAGCAAAATGGGCAACAGACGCACAGCCAACATCCGAAGTCTTGGCTATTCTGATCTCTTCTGCCTGTCTAAGGAAGACCTAATGGAAGCAGTCACTGAATATCCTGATGCTAAGAAGGTACTGGAGGAGCGTGGCCGGGAGATCCTGATGAAAGAAGGGCTGCTGGATGAGTCTGAAGCTGAAGCAAGCCTGGAAGGGAAGGAAGTAGAGGAAAAGCTGGATCGGCTAGAGTCCAACCTGGAGACACTGAACACCCGTTTTTCTCGAGTGTTGTCTGAGTATAATACTGCTCAGATGAAGCTCAAACAGCGCATCTCTGTTTTGGAAAACAAGATGAAACAGGAGGTTCTGGATGACATTTTTGATGGATTAGATACACCTGTGGAGGATGAGGAAGGAGCCAAATCTGATGGGAAGAAATGAGAATCTGTAGATGTCAGCCCCCGCTCTGTTCTGCAGGGTGCAGACATGGCATTTGCTGGTTTCTGTGTTTCAAGAACAAATTACTACCACTGCCTTGCATTGCATGAGACTTCTCAGTGTCATAGAAGTGTTGCTGTTGCTGCCTTGTGAGTGCTCTCTACTCAGTTCCAAATCAGGTGACTCTTGTAGCTCTTACCATCTACCCTACTGCCTTAATCCATGGCCTAAGAATCAGATCAGTC